GCTGCAGCCAGTCTGGGCGAAAGTGCCCCTGTAATGGTGGCCTCTTCCGGCCGGCAGACACCGCAGCCTCGGCTTACCCTCACTGGCCTAGGCCTTCTTGGGCCTCTCGGGCTTCTCTCAGCAGACTCGTTCAGTTTTCTGTGGAGAGGTCTTGCAGGACTTTGGTTAGATTCGCTTTTAGGTATTTGATACTTTTGATGTTAATACATACGATACCCTTTTTAAAATTCTGTCTTCTGACCTTGGAATGTCGTCCATGCATGGAAATAGGGCAGACCTTGAACATGAATGACGGACCTCAGCCTCCCTAGATTCCCTCAGCGTTTCTTTTCAGCAGTTTTTCTAGGCGTTCTTAGAGCCAGAAATGTGCCGTCTATAAAGAGCCGTAGTTCCCTTTCCCCCTGTCCACCCTCACCCTGGCCTCTGTACTGGGGGGCTCGGGGCAGAGCTGCAGTAGCCCCACTCCTGATTCCCATTTCACCACTGGTGTGATGTTAGCTTAGCTTCACGCCTGTTCTCTGTCACAGTCAGGGACTGTCCTCCTATTCCCGCCTTTCTGAGAGAGGTTTTCGTTCTCTTTTTCCATCATAAATGTGAGTTGAAGTTCACTGGCTATTTTTCCAGTATCCTCTGGGCTCGCCATCGGTTTTTCTCTTTTATCGTGCCCGCGTAGTGAATTACACGGCTGATTTCAAGCGTTGCACCCACCTGGCATTCCTACAATAAGCCCGTCTTGCTCATCAGTCATTATATCCTCACAAATCACCGAACTGAATTTACTAATATTTCCCTTGGAATTTGTACGTCTATGTTCACGAGAGACATTGGTCAATTATTTTCTTCCCTTGTAATTCATCTGGTCTTGGCATCAGGGTAGTGCTGGCCTCGTAAAATGAGTTAAGAAATTCCCCTCCTCTTTTATTTTTTTACTCATTTATTTTTTGAGAGAGTCTTGCTATAGGCCCGTGTGCTCACCAGAGAGACAGAAAGCGAGAAATCATCCCCTGGGACCACATTGCAATCCCTTTTCTTCCATCCTCCTCTCAGGATTTTAGGCACTCTCACCTGGAGTGTGTGTAAGTCCTGGGTCCAGAACTCAAACCGTGGTTGGTGATGTGGGAGTCAGAGACGTGACCGTTACGCCATCTGTGGTCTCTCCTCTTGTATTTTTATGGAAGCGTTGGCGGATATTACTTCTTCCTTAACATTCGGAAGAATCAGAAGTGTAAAACATCTTTATTTGACCTGTCTCACGCCATACAAAAGCCAGTTCTGTATGAGTGGCAGAGCACAACGTAGGAGGTCAGCAGGCCTCCACGGTCTGGTGATTACGGGAGCGAGGTCCCACATGGCCCCTGTGCAGTGCGAGGCCCAGACCAGAGCCTTGAGAAGCACACTGGTGTGTGTGTGTGTGTGTGTGTACGTGTGTGTGTGCATGTGTGTGCGTGTGTATTTATGTGTGTGCATGTGTGCGCACATGTGTGTATTTGTGTGTGTGTGCATGTGTGCGTGTCCATGCATGTGTGTGTGTGTCCAGAATCCTGAAAAGACAGAAAGGTGGAGAAGGAGTTGTGACATGGCCACTCCCCATGGAAGTATTTTCTCACTTTCTTGCTTCCCCGCTCTCTCTGGTGAGTCCTTCCACCTCTGGCAAATTAAAAGAAAGAAAAGCAAGGTAAAACAAGGAGTCTCCGGTTAGCATAAAAGACGACCCTGGTGATCTCGGGCTGCGGAGGCCCAGATCATCGCGTCAGAGCCGCGGGAACGGCCCAGCGGCAGCGGCCACCAGCGTGGAGCGGTCTGTGCTAGGCTGGCCTCACCTCTGCGTCCGACACCTGCTTTATTAGCAGTTCCATTTTCAGCCTCCAGTTCAGGAGTTCAGCCGAAGAACTGCCCTTCCCACGTTTGTGGGAGTCGGATCACAGAGAGGTGCAGGTTTTCAAATTATGGGTAACGTCCCGTCCACTTATCGAGCCTCATACCAGAATCTTTTGAAGTGTTTGGCTTGACCTATGTGATGTTTTTATGAGAAAATGAAAAAAAAATTTTTTTTTTTTCAACAAACTTATTAAGTCTTGCTTCACATGACCAAAACTTAGTTTTTTAAAAAGGCTATTTTGGGGGCCAGCATGCAGCATGGTGGTTAAGATGCTGGACTCTTACGTGGCTGACTGTGGTCTGAGTCCCGAGCCTCGTGGCTTGGAAACCATGCTAGGCATGTATGTATGTATGTGCCCCAGATCCCCAGAGACTCAAGGGGGAGGGATTTCAGTGTGGCCATCTCCCAGAAGGGCGATTTTTCACTCTGTCTCTCTCTGTCTCTCTCTGTGGTGAGTGCATACCTATGACAAGGACCTAGAGGGGAAGGTGTTTTAAACCATGAGCTTCACAGTACCTGCTTTTCAGTGCCGTGCCCAGGAATTCATGACCTGGACGGCAGATCAAGGGCACACAGGAGCCCGTGCACGTCAAGCTGCCCGCGGTATGTGAAGCTCCGAGTCTCCGAGGGAGGGTTTGCGTGGCCGGGCCACTGTCTGGGCGGCGGTGTGTCACCGTCTTTGTCTCTGAGGCGAGAGCGCAACTGGAAGGCCAGTCGTCCCTCACAGGGCGTCTGGGGATGCGTTCCATCCCCGGCAGGTTGTCCTGACCCTGCTTCTGCACAGGGAGGTGCCTCATGAAGAGTTACCTGCAAGGGAGCCGTCTGGAAGTGTCTCAGGTTTTCTGATCTCTCTGCAGAGTCGTGAAGACAGTGGCTGTGAAGATCCTGAAAAACGAGGCCAATGACCCGGCCATGAAGGACGAGCTGCTGGCGGAGGCGAATGTCATGCAGCAGCTGGACAACCCCTACATCGTGCGCATGATCGGCATCTGCGAGGCCGAGTCCTGGATGCTGGTGATGGAGATGGCCGAGCTCGGCCCGCTCAACAAGTACCTGCAGCAGAACAGGTGCCGCGGGCCGGCGCCGGGCCAGCTCGAGGGCGGGCCGCCCACCACACGGGCTGTGGCCCGCCTTCCGGGAAACCTTGTCCTGGGCCTCTCCTGCTGTCCATGCCCAAGGCCTTGAGAGAGGAGCGAGGCAGACGTGGGGCCCGTTCGGTTCTCGGGCCCAGATTAAGCTCCAGCCCGTTTTGATTTCCTTCCCCCAGGGCCCCCACGCTGTTTGGTCCTGATAGAACCAGCTGCAGCCTGTCCCGACAGGACATCTTTCCTCCCTACCTGGAAACGCTGCTTTTGAAAGAAACTGTGTTTGTTTGTTTTAGGTTTTTGCTGTAGAACGTATGTGCTTTACCTGAGAGGGACAGAGAGAGGGAAAGTGAGAAATGACCCCCAGGGGGTGGCCACCTGCCACTCCTTTTCCCAGTCCCCTCAGGATTTCAGGCATGCACATGTGCCCAGTGTGATTTTCAAGCTGCTGGGTCTAGAATTCAAACTATGGTCCGCCACGTGGTAATCAAGCTCCTTAACCACCACGCCACCTGCTGGCCTCTAAAGAAACTTTTCTTTAATGTTTTGGGGTTTTTTTGTATTTTAAATTTATAACTGGAAAATAATAGCTACGTGTGTGTGGGACACAGTGTATGCTTTCATCTCTACATGCATTACAGAGAAATCCGGCCAAGCCAATTAATGTATATCACAACACCTTACCACGGTTTTGTGGTAAGAATGTTAAAAATCTATTCTTTTTTTAAATTAAAATTTTATTTTCTGGGGACCAGCAGTTGGCGTAATGGCTATGTTGCTAGACTCCCATGTAGTTGACTACGGTTCAAGTCCTGGACCTGGTGACTTAAACTTACGCCGGGCACGTGTGCGTGCATGCCCAAGATCCCGAGAGGAGAATGGAGAAGGGATTGTGGTGTGGCCATCCCCCCTGGGGAGTGATTTCTCACTTTCTGTCTCTCTGTCTCTCTCTGTCTTTCTGGTGAGTGCATGTGCCCTATAGCAAAAACCTCTCCAAAAAAATTTATTTTTTTGGAATTGTTTTATTTAACTTTATTTATTTCAGTTTGACCAGAGAGAGACAGAATGAGAGAGAGAGAGAGAGGAAAAGAGGGAAAGGGAGAAAGCAGGTCACCAGGTCTGGGACTTGAACCGTGGTTGGCCATGTGGGAGTACAGCAACTTTAACCACCATGCCACCCATTGGCCCCTAAAAATTCTTTTTAATTGACACAGAAGCTGCACTTATTTATGGGGTACATTGGGGATTTTCAGGCGTGAATACTGAGTCATGATGATCACATCAGGGTAATTAGCATTCCCATCACTCTAAGTGTACGGCGTTGCTTTGCGTCAGGAACATTTAAAATCCTCTTGTATCTGTCTCAAAATATACAGTACACGAATAGCTGTGGCCACCCGCCCGGCCATAGGACTGATTCCCACTGTCTGATTGTACGGCCATGCCCATTAGCCGAGCTCGCCCTCTCCCCGCTGTCCGCCAGCCCTCACGGTCTGGGCTTCCCAAAGCCCTAGTGACCACCGGTCCAGTCTATTCTATGAGCTCAAATTGTTTTTAGTTTCCATACGTGGGTGAAAACTTGCAGTATTTCTCTAAAGAAACGTTTAAAATCAACATTTTCTTAGAGATAACGGCACGTCTTGTATGTCTGGCTGACCTCTAAGTTCCCATAATTACTTTTGAACAAAATCAGTTGCTGTGAACTGATTACACCCATTCCGTCCTGCCCACCCAAAGTGATGGCTGAGCTGGAGGGGCTCACCTGGAATAAGGTAACAGCCACTGATCAGCTCATCCCACCCGCGACGTTACGCTGTTCCTTTACTTAGTGTCTCCAGTCTCCACACGGGAAGTGCCGTGCCCTTAGTTACGGTAGATGCGGAGACTCGGGGTTGGTTTGGTTACCTGTCTGATGGTGCGCACTGGAGCCCGGCTGCCTCTGAGCCACGCCCACCACCCCGCCGTGCTGCCTTTCCTGCCACTCAGAGCACGCCGTGAAGGTCGGCCCCACTGTGCACCGGGCAGTGCGCGCAGTCCAGAGCAGCCCCTTGTTCACGGGCTTACTTTCCGCCACTCCTAGCTGGAGCTGTTTAAGAAGCACAGGAAGCGAGTGGATTTGCCCTCTGCCTGCACGAGGAGCATGGCCGCCTGTCTGGGTGGACGCTGTCCCCTGTCACTAATGGCGCTCTTGTGACTTCCAGGCACGTCAAGGACAAGAACATCATCGAGCTGGTGCATCAGGTCTCCATGGGGATGAAGTACCTGGAGGAGTGTAATTTCGTGCACAGGGACTTGGCCGCGAGAAACGTGTTGCTGGTCACTCAGCACTACGCCAAGATCAGCGATTTCGGACTTTCCAAAGCCCTTCGTGCCGATGAAAACTACTACAAGGTAGGGGCGGCGTCCCGAACGTGCCGAGTGGGAGACCCGAGGGCAAGCGGGCGTTTCCTTGTTGATGGACGTGCTCGGGTTTTAAGGAGCAGTTTTATCAGTACGAGTAACCATGCCGGAGGCTGGGCACCACACTGCAGGGCTGGCCAGTGCGAAGGTCTGGGCTCACCTCTGAGGCCTCCTCCTGCACCAGGCACGGGCCTGCCTGGGCTCGGGGCCGGCTGAGCTGGGAGTGCCTTGTGGCATCAAGGCCCTGCTGGGGCGCTCTCTCTGTTTCTCTTCCACTACGGATGAAATACATACACTTTTTAAAACTCTGTAAATAATCTTATTATCAAGCTTTGAATGTCCTGTTTTAAAAACGGAAATACCCCATTATTATCACACCTTGAGATTTACTCAGAATAGTATCTTCCAAACTATATTCTGTGGAGCAACAGGGAACTGAAGCATTACCCGCTGATTCCTTTTGAGAAAAAGAAGCACGTGTTCCCTTCTTTAAGTTACTCTGTGAAACGTGTGTTGGCCAGGTTGGATCTTGCAGGGTTTATCGGCCCTCTCTGTGCCAGTCGACACAGTGACTCCCAGTAGACACTCTGCTGCGTTTCCTTTCTTTTGTATTGTTTGTTCATAGCTCACAATGGTTTTTGTTTGTTTGTTTGTTTTTGAGATGTTTTTGCTATAGGGCACGTGTGCTTGCCAGAGAGAGAGAGACAGAGAGACAGAAAGTGAGAAATCACTCCCTAGGGTGGAGGCCCCGCCACAGTCCCTTCTCCATTCTACTCTCGGAATCTTGGGCATGCATATGTGCCTGGTGTGAGTTTTAAGCCATTATGCTAACTGCTGGTCCCACAATGTGGTTTTTCAAAGTGTGCATACTGTACGTGGCTCTCAAATCAAGTCTCTTACTGGATGCATCTTCTTCGATAGAGAACTGTACATTCTTGTTTCTGCTGTTCTCAAACCTTATTCATCCATGGAACCCTTCCCCAATAGAACATGTAGCAATACTCCAAGGAATTCCACTCCATGACATAGTTCAGATCTACCCCAAGCAACCTTTCAGTGGACACCATCCATACATAAATGCTAGGAAACGCAGAGGAGAACTATCAAAGTCACGCTCTCCTTCCAACTGCAAGATCGGAGCCCCACGTATTCCCACCACATATGTGGGACTTGTGCTGCTGGCTTACGTGCCACCCAGGGGACTCGGACACCTGACCCACTGTGGCAGTCTGCGCTGCTAGGACACTGTGCTCTTCAGGCCAGGGCCACACGGTCAGTTCCCAGCCTGGCCGTAATCCCAGCAACTTGGGAGACTGAGGCAGGACGTTGAGGAGTCCAAGCCTGGCCCCGCCAATACAGTGAGACCCTGTTTGCAAGGAGCTGGGCGTGGCAGTGAACCCTGCAGTCCGGGTGGAGGCTGAGGCAGGAAGGTCGTGACAGCAAGACTCAATCTTAGGAAGAGTACCACTGACGAAAGATTGTGAAAGAGCAGGACATTTCCACATGCTCAGCTTATTAACTACCAAAGAAAGTTCTTACTGGAGAGATCTCGGGGAGGCTTGGATGTTCACCTCAGTCTAATAATGGGGAAGCAACCACACGAATCTACAGTGAGGAACAGTCTGCTTGGATGGGCTTTTTAAAAACATTTCATGTCTTTATTTATTTATTTATTTTGAGAGGTTTTCACTATAGGCTGTGTGCACTTGCCGAAAGACACAGAGAGAGAGACAGAAAGCGAGAAATCACCCCCCAGGATAATGGCCACGCCACAATCCCTTCTCCTCCATTCTCCTCTCGGGATCTTGGGCACACACACACACACACACACACACACACGCGCCCGGTGTGAGTTTAAGCCACCGGGTCCGGGACTTGAACTGCAGTTCACAACGTGGGAGTCCAGCAGCACAGCCACTACGCCAAAGCATTTAATGTCTTACACAAAAAGGCTGATGCAGTATGAAAACGGCACTGCTGAAAGGGCATTAGAGACTGGACAGCTGGAAGGAGCCCGTGGTCTCTGCACCCTGCGGGGAGAAGCTGGATGAGCTCATCAGTGTGACCGAGAAGTCTGACTATGGGCTGCTGGTAGGATTTTATCGACTTACACTTCTCGGGCATGACGATAATTGTATTATGATTATGTAATAAAAATATCGGGTTGTCGGAAAAGTCATGATGCACTTTTACATAGGGAAACAGAAAAACACGTCATGACTTTCCCGACAAGCCAGTTTATACGCAGTCCTGGAAAGCGGAATTCCAGGTAGTTATGTGGAGGAGACTGGAAACGGAATAAGCCCCTTAGTTTGTTAATGCAGACATGGTGAGAAATGAGGATCAACTTCCCGTGAGACAAATCCTAGGGGTGGGTCTGGAATTCTTAAAAAATAATTCCACCGCGAATCCCATTTGCTAATGGGACCCCACCGCTCCCTGACTCTGATAACCGTAAGAAAGCTGCACGGGGACTTAACCGTGGCGTGTACACGGGACCTGCGTCGGGGCAGCTCGGCAGGTCCCCGCGCTGGCTGGAGTCCTCAGAGGTAGGTGACATCCTGGAGATCTGGAGAACAGCAGGGTGGGAGCAGGCGTGGCTGTGGTCGGAGAAGCCACGTCTGTGACAGCACCCACCCACTCGCCCTCTCTCTGGAAGCCAGTGCATTGTGGACGCGGCAGGTGGGAAGACGTCAAGTCTAGGCCGGCTGACGGGCGGCTGGCAGCATGAGCGAATGGGGACACTCCACACAGCCAGGCAGCTCAGGCTTGTGTGAGAGCCTGCAGCTGGGCACAGGCCCGCCGGGGGCCTCCCCTCATAGCCCCTCCCCTCCCTTCCCTGTCAAGGGGCTGCCCTGTGAGGAAGCCCCTCAGAGGCGAGCCAGCATTAGAAAGGACCGGCACGGGCCTATGTGGGGACTGTGGAGGAGGGGCCTGGGATGAGCGTGAGACACACCAGAAAAATAAATCCGTTGCGAGTCGGATTGGAACGCATGCTTCCCTGTGACCATTACAATGAGAAAGGACAGTGTCTGAAACAAGGACTCGAAGAGCAGAGAGGGGTGAAGCCGTCAGGTGCTGTTCCTGGCGTGTCACTGTGTCACCAGCAACTCCGACCTCCACGTGAAGAACCACCCATCCTCTGTTTACACACAGCTCAGTGGTGTGGTCAGAGCTTGGTGGGGACAATACAAGGGGACTTCACAAAGTGTAGAAAAGAGTGGAGTTAAAATGCAAGTTTATTTTGGTACAGAAACCTTTGAAATACATGCAGAGTTTTTCATAAAACCTAGTTCGCATGGACTTTTAGAAGCCGCCTCTACGTCTCTGCTCCACACAGTGACTCAGGCAGGAGGCGCTGGTTTCATGTTCGCTCTCACAGCTAGCAACTGATTGGATGCAGTCTATGCCCTGAGACCTTCACCAGGCCATCAGCCAGTCAAGGACATGTGGCCTCTCCTGTGGTCCCTGGGCTTCCTCACAACATGGCAGCTGGGCCCTGGAAGTGGAGACTGCAAGGCCGATAGTGTCAAGGCCTAGAAATTGCCTCAGGATCGCCAATACCTTAGTCTATCGATCAGAGCAGCCACCTGGACTCAAAGGAGCCTGGAGGCTAATGTCAAAACTGCTCCGTGGGCTAGTGGTTAAGGGAGCCAGACGCCACGTTGCCCAGCACGGGGTGAGAATTCCGGACCCTGGGGCTTGAAAAGCACACTGGCTGTGTGTGTGTGTGGCCACACCCCTGACAGGACGGAGGGGTGGAGGAGCAGGGATGTGGCCGGACCACGGCCTGTTGGGCATGCTTTCTCTCTCTGTCTCTGGTGAGTGCTTGTGTCCTTTGTCGATGAAAAAAATTGAAAAACAAAAGTGCCACAGACATCAAGCAACATACCTTTTAAAAGTGAAACAGCAGATCTCTGAAAATCAACAAAGAAGAAAAAGCCACCATGGGAATGAGAGCCCCGTTAGAAGCAGAAAAAGGGACCAGATGTTAACTGGCAAGATGGAGCCAGTGGGTTACTGTAAGAAAACGAAGCCGAGCGAGAGGAAGGAGCTGGTAAAAACAGACGGTACGATGGAAGCCCGGGAGGACTGCCAGGCAGCGTGGTTCGTGCAGCAGCAGGACTAAGCACAGGCTCTCGTCTGTCTTTTTCTTTGCTCATGAAGAGCATGTGCACATTCATGAGCAGGAGAGAGAGAGAGAAAAGAAGCGCTCCTCTCCACGGGGTCTGGTCGTGCTCCAGTCCCCTTCCTCCTATCCTTCAGCCCGTCAGATTGTGGGCACTCACTCATGTGAGTGGCATGTTTCAGGCCACCTGTGCTGAGGATTGGAACCATGGTCACCATGTGGCTTCCAGCACTTCAGTCTGACACTGACCCGTGAGCCGCCATGGTTAAGCCACACAAATGCCTTTGGATCTAGCAACTCCTTTTAAGAGCAAACACACACGCAGTCCTGTGCTGGGGTCTTGGCGTATAGTGGAGTTATAGTGAGGACCCAGAAAAGAGACTGGAATGGTCATCTGCTTGGACAGGAGTTGGGAGACATCCTCAGGGTCAAGTTGCGTGCATTCCTGTGCATTCCAGGACTCTTTGCAAAGCCCCACAGCCCAGGTGCATGAGTTCCCACCCCACCTCCTGTGTCCCCGCGAGGAAATGTCCCCACATGTGCTGGATTTCAGGCCGCCTGCGTAGTCAGGGCTGCACTGTAGTGTCTCAGGTCTTCCGACAGACGGGATGCTGACCATCTGAAACCCAAGGTACATACGCTCTGAAGAAGCAAAGCCTTCCTGGGACCAGCAGTTGGCGTAATGGCTGTGTCGCTAAACTATGTCCCATGTAGTCTATGGCGGTTTGAGTCCTGGACACGCCGGGCGCGTGTGCGTGCCCAAGATCCCAGAGAGAAGAATGGAGGAGAAGGGATTGCGGCATGGCCATCCCCTCTGGGCAGTGATTTCTCACTTAAAAAAAAAAAAGCAGCAGCAGCAGCAGCAGCAGCAAAACCTTCCTGACACCTCGGTGGTGCCACGCTCCGGGCCACGTGTGTGCAGCCTGAGCTGTGTAGGTCTCCCAAGTCGCGCCGCAGGTCCATGTTGCTGTATGGCCCAGGTCCTCATGGATTCCCTCCGGAGTTTTCCCACCTGAGCGTTCTGGCTGCACTTCTCTCGAGGTGGTGAAAAGTCACTCTGCCTCCGTGTGCCGGGCCCTCTAGACGCTCCACTCCTCCTCATGCGTGTGCTGATCCGCCCGAGGGAACTCAGCCCCGATCACCACCACCTGTAGACTGACAAAACCCTCCCATCGGATGACGCCCTGGTAGGCGACTCTGCACCTGCTGCTCCACTGTCTGGAGCCTTTCCTTGCGTCGGGAAGGCCGCCCCACGACCTCCGCGGCCTGCTGTGCTGGGCCTGGCAGGGAATGGCCCGCCCTGGGACTCCAGCAGAGCAAACCCAGGCCCTGGTGGCCCCCCAGAGGAGGGACTTGATGTCTTGGTGTCTCCCGCATATGGGAGAGTGTGACAACACAGTGTGACCACTGCTAAAGAGTGGTCCTGCAGCAGGAGGCACCTGCTTCCTAGCAGAACTCACGCTCATGAAGCCCTTTGCTGTGATACGCCTACGTGCAGGGCCGCAGGAGTCTGGGCCTCTTCCACTAAAGGCCGATGCAGGGACTATGTGATCTGTGCCCATAGCTAGCGGTGACAGGGTCTGTGACGGACCCTATAGACGGCAGGAAGCCCACCGGGAAAGCTGCGATGGCACAGTCCATGTGTCTTCTGGTCCGTGCGTCTCCTGAGGTGGCTCCAGGGCCTGGTCTGTCTGCCCTCACTGCCCAGGACTGGTGCTCCACGCTGACAGCCAGGTCTGACGGGAGTACACTATTTATTTTTCTTAGATTTCTCTTAAATTTGCTAGAGGCCACATGCACTCACTGGAGGAAGACAGAGAGGCACGGAGAGAGGGAAAGCGCTCCCCGTGGGGCTGGTCACTCTGCAGTCCCACCCCCTCCGTCTCTTTCTCCTCTCAGGGTTCGGGGCACACGGACACACACCTGGTGTTTCTCAAGCCGCTAGATTCAGGATTCGAACGATACAGTTGGCCACGTGCTCCAGCCCCTTAACCGTCAGGTCGTGGGCTAGCCCAGCTGTTTATTTTAAGTTTATGTATTTTATTCCTTTCACAAGAGAACTGCCTAGGCCGCCTTGTTACACAGCACTCCTCCATCCCTGCACCCGAGCCTTCCAGCCAGCCAGGACTTCGGATTCGTGCTCGGCGTGTTTCAGGGGATGCAGGACCTGAACCTGGCACTCTGTGTGGCTGTGAGCTGCACAGCAGTGCCCTACCACCTGTGCCACCGTGGCTGAGCCCACAATTTTACTGACTTTGACTTTTTAAGTCGGTTTATTTCTTCCGTGAGTGTCACACACACAGTGTCCCCAACCAGCTTCTGATGCTGCGATCCGTTGCAGTCAGCCCTGGGCCCTGGGCCCGCATGCACCTGGTGTGTTCAGGGAGGCCTCCAGACACGGACGTGGAACCTTCCAGTGTGGGTTGCTCACGGAGAACTGCGTCGCACTGTCTGGCCCCGCAGTGCGTCCTTAGCGGGCTGGTTCCCTCTGCTTCGTTTCAGGCCCAGACCCACGGGAAGTGGCCCGTGAAGTGGTACGCCCCCGAGTGCATCAACTACTACAAGTTCTCCAGCAAGAGCGACGTGTGGAGCTTCGGCGTGCTCATGTGGGAGGCGTTTTCCTACGGGCAGAAGCCGTACCGGGTAAGCACTGCTGCGGTGGACCACGCGGCCGATAGAGCGGGGGGCACTGGCCTGTGTGCACGAGGCCCTGGAGACACCAGGGGCTTGAGATCCGGGCGTGCTCCCCGGGTCTTTGGTACCGCCCCACCCAGGCGGTTGCTGTGGCCTTCTCATCCCAGCTGAAGGAACAGCCCACGGAGCGGGTGTGCTCCTCACTGCACACGACGCGTGTAAATGTGCGAGTGTGTACCGGATCGTGATTCGTTGGCGTTCAGAAATGCTGACCATGCCCCAAGTCGAGTTTGCAGCTCAGTTACGAGGCTGTCGGGAAGGTCACGGCGTGTTTTTCTGTTTCCTATGTAAATGCGTGTTGTGACTTCCCCGACAGCCCCACGCATTCTTTAGGTTTAAAATCTAAATGCATATGCACATACCAAGCACATCTTAGGACACAGGTCACGATTGAAGCGCAGGCCAGATGGAGAAGCGAGGCAGGCCCGAGCCCCCTCTCCCTCCCCGGGCTGCCGTCTGACTTTCAGCGTGGCAGGTCCTGAGCCCTGTTCTCTGCACCCGTGAGCTCGGACGATGTGTGCCGGCGTGCTGGGAGGGCCATCTTACATGGAAGCTCACGTGCCTTTTGCCTGTCTCAGGGCATGAAGGGGAGCGAAGTCACTGCCATGCTGGAGAAAGGAGAGCGGATGGGGTGCCCGCCCGGCTGCCCGCGGGAGATGTACGACCTGATGAACCTGTGCTGGACGTACGAGTGAGTAGCCCCGCCCCGGCCCCGCCCCGGCCCCGCC